TCCTACAAAACTAAGGAAGTGTGTTTACGCTTTATAATGTTAGTATAGTATAGTGTTAGCTTTTTAACTATTTTGATGTATTCTGTATTCTTGAAGGTTATTAGTCTGTGCTATAAATCAATACCATTTGTCATAATTTGAAATAACGATATAAGCTTTGTTATGGTATCCAAAACATTATTTAAAACATTTATGTCATTGTTTTAAAATCGTAATTGTACTTGTTATGTTAATAATCGGATAGTAGTCGGATGTCAAAATAAGGGTGTTGCATTATCTCGAACACACGACGGCCATATTGGTAAGGTTATTCTGTGCAAATTGGAAGAAAACATAAGAAGTAATGAAGACTATATTTTATTATAGCATAACATGGTTGTGACGCCCATAATAGAGTGTATCTACACTTTATTTAAACAGACAGACATAAGTAAACAACATACAAACTCAAAAAATCAAACCTACTATCTTTGTCCGTTGACTAAAAACAACATCTACGAGTAACATGACGTATAAATACATTCAGATGTTAAATAGTTTGAGTAAACAAATAGATTATAACTATTAGTAATAAGCGGACCATTTACCACGAATTTGTAATAAGCGTCGGATCATTCCGCCAAAGTTCCTATTTATCTTTGCGGGATCCAAGACCTAAGTGAAAGGTCAAACAATAAATTATGGAAGTTGTTCTTGTAATAGTTACTATCAATTTCCCTTATATACGTAGAATACTCTGTTATTTGACTCTAGGGACTGCCATACACGAACTGAATCAAGTTCGTATTAACAGCTTCTAACAGTCAATGTACGGCTTTTAGAAGTTGACGTTAGCCATAGAGGAACCACAGTTTGGGATCGCAGAAAATGCTGCGTTGATCCAATGACCTTTTGAAATAGTCCGTGTATGTAGACCTTTAAACTTTTATAAATACAGAATTGTTTTGATTTAAATGTCTCACAACAATATTAAAAAAATGATTATCATCTTACTTCATACTAATATTATAAATGCGAAAGTTTAGATGGATGGATGTTTGTTAGAGTTTGTAGGCTAAACGGCTGAACGGATCTTGATGAAATTTGGCATGGACATAGAGGATAGCCTGTAAGGATACATAGGCTACTCACTTTTGTTTTTTTTCTTTCCACGCTGACGGAGTCGTGGGCGAAAGCAAATATACTAAAAGTTTAAAATTGAGAGTATCATATTGACGGAGTCACATCAATCGTTTAAGTACAAAGTAAAATTATCACTTTCAAATATTAACCTCGATATTAGTTGCATTAGAGTGATGTAGCGTTGCTTATTTTCTCCGTAAATCCCCCCAATGTATCTAGACTGATCGTCTATTAGGCGGGCATTTGCTGCGATCGTAACTTACGAGCCTTATTTGGGTTGAAGTATAATTTATTGTCTTCAATTCCACTTCGAGACGGTGGAAAGGTTGCGCAATAAATTGAACACAGCTGCATTACGAGCATAGGCTGGGAATTACGCTGGAAAAAGAGAAATGCTTATTAGTAAATGTTTTTTTTGTTTTGTTTGGCGATTTTAGTGTATTAGTTTTTTTTTATTTTAGATGAATGTGTGGTGTGATAAGAAAGGATAAAGTTAAGAATGTTTACGTCAGAAAAAATTTGAAAGTAGTGCCAGTGGTGGAGAAATTGAGAAGCAAAATGTAAGCGTGGTATGGATATGCGACGAAAGGATGGGACATAAACCAGAAAGTGTTAATATTGAATGTGTGGCTACAAAGATAGAGGAAGACCGAAGAAAGTATGAATGGATTGTATGAAAGAGGATATGATGGCTAATAGAAATGTATTGAAGAGCAGCACATACAGTGCCAACCCTCCGTAGGGACAAGGGCGAGTTAATGACGAGTGTATTAGCTTTTTTTTAAAAAAGTAATTAAGTCTCGTGAAACATTTACTATACTAATTAAAATCTCTTCAGTCACGTGTGCTTCAGTGTACATCAGAACCGTTGGGGTCCTTTTTCTGGGTGACCAGGAGGACCACTCGTGTTTCAGAAACTATACAGAAATGTATGTTAGTTAGGCCGTGATTTTTAATTAATTTAGTTATTTCTTTTCTGTAACAAATTTACGGTTATTAAGCGTGTTGTATTGTATCGTGAACATCTACTTAAGTTTTTTGATTTTTCTAGTAAATTTTTCTAATAAATCGTAATACATTTTTAATTTGAAATCGTTTTATGAACTTTTTCTCAAACAGTTAAGACGGAAAGTTGTCTAGAAATGGTCTCACTTCCTAAGTATGTGCTGTACTGAACTCGTTTTTAACTTTCATAGCTCTCGCATAGTTTTTGAAGATGTCATGCTTGGAATAACACTATCACTGCAAAGCTCAGCAAAAAGATTCCGTGCGCGAAGTCGGCTCTCTTTAGATGGCACAAAGAACTGCTCCAACATTCGTACTGAGAGCGTCGTTTATTACTGGAGGGGTTTAATTTACGTGAAATGTCGACGAAAGTTTGTTATCTACACAGTTAAAAAACGGATGGTCAGTATAAAGATAAAAAATCATATTTATTACATTTATTTCCGTTATGTGAAACGTTATTTTTTTAAATTCATTATCTGTTTCTCCTCAAATCATATATACGAGTATATTCCGTCTAATCTCTGTAACGGCCGTATCGATTTTAATGAACATAATGTAGCTGATGTACGCGGGAGTAACATAATTTTATTCCAAGCTGACAAAGTTGCGGGCAACAACTAGCTTGCTATAAGACTGTTTATTACACACGTCAAATTTTTCCTATTGATATAAACAAATTAAAAAAAAACATAGTTAATCAAAGATAGCGAATGAGAATTAATAGAATTACTTTACACGGGTTTAAAAATGATTTAACTTTTAAAAGCAACGGATAATATAAAAGAAAGAAAAGAAAACATAAATAAACAAATCAGTTTTAGAATGAAAGTAATTTATTGTATTCGAGATAATGCCGTCCAAAGTGTCATCTCCCATTAAGAAAATGTTAAAACTCAACCCAACTGATGATCATGTACTTCAAACTTCGTCTTCTTTTCAAACCCTCTTGTTTTCGCTTTTGAATCGCATTATCTGTTTTAACATAATTTTATAAGAATTTTGTTTCAAACGCTCGGAAGTTCATCAGTAAATCTTTTTCTTTTTATTGTAAGACTAGCTTTTGCCCGCGATTCGCGTGAAATTTGGAAATTAAAAACTTACGTTCGCACTTATTTCAACCTATCCATTACTGGAAATTGGCTATCAGCTCACCAATGTCTCCCTCTCCTGTGCTAAGCAAATAAATTATTCGACGCTGGCGATACTATTCCACTCCCGGATGTATCTTAACGATGACTTCCTTATCCTACCAAAGACATATAGATATACTGGCTTAAGTCCGCGAATACGACTGTGTGGAATTAAAAAAAAAAAACAAAGCAAGATGCCTATGTTTTCTTCCAGACTATCCTCTACGTCTATGCCAAATTTCATCGAGATTCTTTCAGCAGTTTAGGCTACAAACTTTAACAAACATCCGTCCATCTAAACTTTCGCATTTATATTAGTAAGAAGTAAGATAGACTGACTATATGACTATAGACACGTAGACTGTCTATATGTCTATATTATGTCTAGTGGGATTGTAAACTAACCATATTTACAATTACACCGTTAAATAGAAACATTACAGTTATAAGATATTACAACACGTAATTTAATAAACTACACTATGGTTCTCCTTAACCATCGCTTCTAAAAATTATGTGAGTTTAAAAATAGAACGTCTCAAGAAATACATTCCTTATTTTAAACGAGATCCCTTTGAAGACGTAGAGGTATTTTTTTACTCTTGAATTTCGGTAATGACTTACTCTCGATTGCTTTAGACCCTAATGTATTATGTTCGTGCAAACAACCGTTTTCGATCAACTCTTCTAAATGTACTTAAGTTACTTAAGTGATAGTAAAGAGAATACACAATTTGATTTAAGTTAGTAAGATCGATTTATATCGGTTGTAGAAACGTATTGGATTTGGGACCCAAAGCATAAGACAAGGCATTATAAATATTTTAGATTATAAAATTGACGTTTTTTGGCCTTCCCTTTGATGTTATAACCGAATTTTAAATTAAATTATGAATATAAAATTGTGTAGATAAGTTAACAACATTCTTATTAACATCTTCTTTTATTAAATAAAATTAAAATGTATCGATATATTTTATCGATTTTCAAATGGTCACATCACTAAATTTTTCCCTTTCAATTCGCTCGATTGTGAACATTAGACCCAATTCATTCCATTATCATTCGATACTCGTTACCCGAAACTGTGGGCTTTTAAACTGTTTACCCTGCGAAATTGAAATCGCCGAGGCGTAGGCGATACATCTCTCATTGTGCCGCGCGTGATCAACGAGTGTTACTTCCCCGTTATTGTTTCAAATAAAATTCACCTCAACGGAATAACATTACGTAATAAATAAAAACACATCACGAGCTTCATAAATTCTATTCTGTTTTAATAGATAGTTGGTTTATTTTGTTCAAATAGTTATTACTCGTAATAGACTGAAATTTATAACTACGAATTTTTGTAGAGAATTTAATATTACAAATATAAGTTACTAGCTTTCGCCCGCAATTCCGTTCGAGTGGAATTAAATAAAAACAAGTAACCTATGAGTTTTTCCAGACTATGCTCTACATACAGGCCAAATTACATAGAGATCCGTTCTACAGTTTAGGCTACAAACTCTAACAAACATCTTTTCATCACATTGACCATTGATATTAGTAAGAAGTATATACAACAAAGTAATTTAAATTTAAATGATTTACCTTTTTACTTGTAGAAGTATTCGGTGTAATAGCTTTGAGGTTATGTTTATCATGAGAGAATTTAAAAGTCTATTGGCTGCAACGCTATCGGTTACAACTTAGACACTTATAATCAATATTAATATTGACTTTTCTTTGTTACAGAACGAGATTACAGTATCGGGGATGAAAGATGACATAAAAAATCTTCTAATTAATTATTTAAAAAAATACAGTGCCAAAAACTATTAAAATCTTTAAGACAATAAGAATTGTCAAAGTTGATAATAATGATTTATGTTTGAATTGTGATATAGTCTGTTAAATAGAAAGTGAGGAATATTGTGAAACATGTTTATCAATTCTAGAAAGTGGTTAGATAAAGGAAATCAATACAAATGAACAAAATGACATCCCTGCTGCAAGCTGTGATTACTTGCATCGCTTTTCAGTTTATCGGTAAGTCTGTTTTAATATTGCTAATACATAATGTGAAACACAATTACACATTCGACAGCAGTAAGGAAAGTATTTCAAGGTCACGCGTCACGCGTCAACATTTCGTTACATGAGCGAGAAAAAACATATATAAAGGTGCTAGTGCGAAATAGATACAAATTATTGTACTTTATCTTTTAGTATTTGCGGCCTTAATAATGTTTTTCCGACCTGATTGCAATACATAATAGTAAAAAGAATTTTCCTATATACTCCAATAAACATTACGCATACAATAGGGGGAAAGAGGGGAAATAAATCTGAATGGTTACGTTAACCGCAAATCTCGTTCCTATAGCGTATTTGTTATTTTTCCCTTGTTTACGCTTACGTTGCCTTCATTGAATAAATTTACGTTTGCGTTTTTTCCAATGATCTTTACGTACGCCTCCCCCTTTTTTATTACAGTTCTTTATAATAATTACGGTTATAAATACTACAATCTATTCTTACAATAATTTACTAGTTTTTCTTTGGTTAAAAAATGTGTTCTTTTTTTCTTTAATCACTAAGAGCGAGCGCACACCTTTGAGTAAACTGTAGCACAACTGTGGTGCGATTGTCGATTGTTTCACTGCTCATTCATCTGTTTAGTTGCACAACTAAAAATCGAGTGTGTGCACCTCCATAAGCTCATAGGAATCAAAGCGAGACTAAACAGTTGTGCGACAGTTTAGTCATGTGTGGGCGCGCTCTAATATTAAGAATTATGAATTTGAACTTTTGTTAAATAAATTCTGAGTTTTAGTATTAATGCCAAAAAACTACAATTTTTTTTAATATTAATTTACGTTTTAAAAACAGTGATCATTATGTTCGATAGCAGATCACAATGCCTCGTTATTTTTATGAATTTTTATTCGTCCCTTGCTTCAAGTTTGTGTTCGGAACATTGGTTTTATTTGTAAAGATTTCCCCGGGCACTGCTTTGTATTAAATGGGAATTGATTACTGCGGAATGTTATACTGCTTTCTTTGCTTGAGAAAATGTAAACGTTCGAATTGATTTCTCTTAGAAAGGGATTGCATTTAAGATTATCATCTTTTCATGGAAATATCCGCTTAACATTTTTATACTAGAAATATGTGGCGAGTTGATGAAGAAATAAACAAGAAAGTGTTACGATTGAATGTGGATGGCTACAAAGTTAGAACGAAGAAAGTGTGTATGGAATGTTAGAAAGAGGATTTGACGACTGATAGAGTAGTGTAGAAGAGCAACACTGCGTCAACCCTTCCCAGGGACAAGGACATGTTGATGCTACCAACATAATACAAGATATTTAAAATGTAAAGAAAAAATAGAAGGTAGATTAAAATCATAATTCATACTAATATTACAAATGTGAAAATTTTGATAGAGGATAGATGTTAGTTAGAGTTTGTAGCTTAAACGGCTGAACGGATATCGACGAAATTTGGTACAGATGTAGAGGGTAGTCTGGAAGAACACATAGGCTACTTACTTAAGTTTTTTTTAATTCCACGCGGACGGAGTCGCGAGCGAAAGCTAGTAATGTATACTCTAAAGTGTGTACGTTTGCTAAATGAAATATGAGCAAACTTCTGCGGCTCTTGCGGTGAGGAGAATTGGCGCAGTTGGACTTAGTTCGCCAATTTAGTTGTACTCACTCACGCGTCTACGCTAGTTCCTCTAAGGAAAGATAATTTTGTACTTTCTCACACTACAGTTAGTTGAATTTATACAAGTATAGTTTTGCGACTGTAAATACTTTAAACTTGCATAACAAATAAATCAATAAATAAATAATAAAAAAACAATGTTTAATCCTTATCAATACTACAATTAGTATCAAAAAAGTAATTAAACACAAAATAATGAGAAACGTAACTAATGAAATGAAAAAAAAAAGAAATAATTAAAATTAGCGTTGCAATGCTTACTGGATTGGGTCCTGATTACTCGCATATAAAAAAAAAGTTGCTGAGTTTATAAGTAAAAAATAACAAAAACAATCTATAATTATTATTATTACATCAAAGCTTTATTCCAAAACAATATAATTTATTTTAAACAATACCCATGTGTAAAATTGACAATATAAGTTGATTAAAACGGCAACATTAATTCCGTAAAGCATTGCACCTTACCACAATAATAACCATTCCCCAAATACCCGGAATATTCAAACCAGACAATAACAGACCACAACTAGCATTCAATAGGGCTCAGTTGTAATCATGAGAGAAAGATATTAACATTGTTCGATATTACTGAATTTTACAACGTATCTATACTATTATAATAAAGCGTAAACACACACTTCTTTGTTGCCTAAGATGTAAGCAATGACAGCATATTTTTGAATAATGGCTTTTTTAATAAGGAATTCTACACTTATGATACCCTTTAGGCTATATGTTTTCACGCCATTAAACTTAAAGGTAAATGTTTTAGATAAAAATCCTAATGTAGGAAAAGTTGCCAATATCAAGAAAGCAAGGTTGCCATGGTTTGTCATCGTCATGTCATTTTGACATTGCAATTGATAATTTGACACATGTAAACAATGAAATAAAATTTTCATACTTTTATGCGAATGAAGTAGCACGGGAACAGCTAGTAAGTTAATATATTCTGAACGATTTTGCAACATCCTTTATTTATTAGTATGTACACATTTCTTACACTCATCTAAATAAACACCCACCACACACACACGCGCAAATACACACACAAGCATACGCACACACCTATATACTTACCTAACTACAAAAACATAAACTTCCAAATTTTATTACACAAAATACAGAATATGAAAGTTATAAATGAAAACAATTTATGTAAAGTGTATTTGTAAAATTATATGTGAAATGTTATGTTGTGTTTTGTAACAATAAATAAATAAATAAATAAATTGGTCGTGGTTGAACGTGGTCCTAAAATCTTACTAATGTTAAATGCTATACTTGAGATAGATAGAGAGATGTTAATGTTTACTGATTAAGCAGTTGAATGAATCTCGATGACATTTAATACAGATAGAACTTCGTTCTCGTAACATTAACATAAAAAAGTAGCCTATAATATACTCGTCTATGTCAGCTACCCTTTAGTGAAAGTCGAAATCTGCTGAGCCGTTTCGGAGGTTACCTGACACAAACGCAGCTTGCAAACACCCAGACGGACAAAAAAAATTAAATGCGATTTTCGTTATAACAAATACATGTTTTTGAAATCAAGATTTTTTCTTTTGATATAACAAACAGACAATCCAATTTCATTATATGTATATATGTAGATCATAGTCTGGACGAACACGACTGATTTATTTATTTTTTAATTTCACGCAGATGGTACCGGGCGAAAGCTTGTGTTAAACAAAATATAGCAATATTACATTGCAGTATAATTATTATATCTCTCGGGAAACTCTGCCCGTTTCGTATTTCACCTTCAGCCCATGTTGTAACATCTTTAAACATGAAAATGTAAGATGATAACAGGGTTCGGATGTAGCTAGAGTTCCAGAGCGTGGCAATTTCTTAGAACGAAACGAGGAAAGTGAAATAATATTATTAAGAAATGTATCCCCTTTTTGATATTTACAAACGAAATGATTTCGTAGAAGGAAACACAATAAAATTAAAATGTAATATTTCTATGTAAATTCGATATTTAGAGACAAAAAATGGAACAGTTAAAATATTATGTTTTATTATAATATAAATATCTGTCGCCCGCAACTCCGTCCGCGTGGAATTAAAAAAACAAAAGCATGCTTAAATTTTCTTCCAGACTATGCTCTACATCTATGCCAAATTTCATCGAAATCCGTTCAGCCGTGTAGGCTACAAACTCTAACAAACGTCCATCCATTTTAACTTTCACATGTAAAATATTAATATGATTAAGCATACCTTTGTTATTTCTATAACAAAGAAAGGTAACATAAAACATTTTTAGTGTAGTTTCATTGCAACTTAACGTATAACTTTAATATCTTAAGTAATATAAAAGATCATGAATTACATAAAATTCCGTAGTTTTCTTTTGCAAATCCGTTGAAAACTGTTACCAAGCGTAGCCCGCAAAAGTGCATTCCATTTGCTAATGGGAATCAATACACGAAGACATTAAAGAAATGGGATTCTAGGAAACAACTTTTTCAAAAGTATTAGAGTGGGTGCACACCTTTGACTATACTCACAATTGTTGTGCGGTTGTCGATTGTTTCGCGGCACATTCAACTGTTTAGTTACACAACTAAAAATCGAATAGTGTCCGCACCACCATATAAAGGAATCAATGCGCGACTAAAAGTTGTGCGATAGTTTAGTCGATGATGTTGTTTCTGCAGTCCTTATTATACCAACTGGTAGTGGCATGTGACTTCGTAAGTGTGGAGAAAACTGAGTAAGACTATTCTGGGAAATGTAATGTTTTTGTTTTGAATTATAATATTATTTGGTCAGCCATTAACGAGTTATGTGGCAATAAACACTAAACTATTTATTATACTAAAAAGATGGAGTTACGAAAAACCAAAACAAGAACAAAGAAGTTATAAAAATTAACAGAGCTAGAATACTAGATTTTACATCATAGAATTTTCGTAAAAATAAATTTAACAATTTCTGTTTAGTAAAGTTCCCTTTTAAATATTCAAATATAAACGGTCTTTATAATAAACTAAATAACCCGCCTAATACAGTTGGGTACAGCTTTCTAATATTCCAGACACTTCAACAAAAATGATACGAGAAATAGAGAAACTCAAAGTAATAATCCTGGCAGTCAAAAGCATGAATTTTACAAGATTAAATATGAGCGGGCCTGAGCGGCCCCTCTACTTGAGAATGGGTAAAGTTGGGCAGAGTCGGCCAGTCGAGTATTCTATACTTATTTCATGCTATAACTTTTACAGTAATTTGACTGAGCATTTTAGACGAAACATTTATTTAACACTAGCTTTCGCCCGCAACTTCGTCTGCGTGGT